GTGCCTTGGCTGTCATTAGCACAGACCCACTGTGAAAAGTAAGCAAAATATATGCCAATTCTTATAATGAGGAGCATAGCAAATGGAGAACATGACCATGTGGCAGTGAACTAAAAACACCTGTGAACAGCAATATTTATTTTATTCACTTCCAAAATATATTTAGTATTGTCAGAACTAATGAAAAAATAACTGCACTGTTAACGGCTCTGTGTGTGAAAAATGTATAATGATTAGGAGCTTAGACATTTATATGACTGTAAGAGGAGTAGATTTCTGTCTCTTAAGAGCTCTTCAAGTGCAGTAGCTAATCATTCCATCACTCAGTGCTTTCAAAAACAAGCTGGGGTTTAACTTTCCTTGGTGCTTTATGAATAAAGGTTTAATAAGTCACTGCTTTCCTGTACAGTAACAACTAAATTAATTAGCTAATTACTACATCTAAATAATTACTATATTAAGATTCAGACTAAAATGCATGTTATGCTCTGAGATAGACCAATGTATACATGATAACATCTATATACTGTATATAAAACTGGCTGCACAAAAAAAGTTTTGAGTCTACCCCATTCCAATTTTGTACCCAATTTGCAGATGGAGAGCCCAGCTCCATGTCAGTCAAAATGAGAGTGCCTGAATAACACAATCTGACCTACACATCAGGCTAATGGAAAATCCTGTGTCTCTGCTCACTGAGATTGAACTAGTCTGCATTTCATCATCAAAATGGAACCAAAAAAGCACATCATCTGTAATAGATCAAATAAAGACTGCTTTTAGATCCACAAAAGATAAATAATCCTGAAAAAATATATAAAGACTTGAATTGTCCATGAACTGTGTGCTGAAATAGACTAATCAATCAGGATTTCCATTAACTGTTACAGTACCTGGCCAATCAATTACTAAAGTACAATAATTACAGATTTATTAACAGGGAAAGAGCAGCAATAGCTGGTCCTCAAGGTCAGAAGAGAGAGATGGACAATGGTCTACCTCTCATGCATGTCACTTCTTTCTTTGGCATATTAAGTGTATCTCCAGTATGTATATACTGTATATAAAGCTTAGAAAAGAGAGAAACTGCTCAACTTGTTGCTCAAGGTCATTTGCAAACCACACTACAGCCAGTCACATACACCTCAGTTATGCTGAGAGGTTTGACATGGACATGAGTATTACTCAACAAAATGAGTATTACTTGAAGCAGAATGATGACAAGCAAGGAAAGTGGTGTCACTGAGCAGTGAATTCTCTCCTTTTATAAATTTTCCCATTCTATTCTTTACTCAGAGATAACATTGATTATTCAATCAAGTTTTTGCACTACCGATTCCCTTCTTTCTCTATTATATCAATCTATACATCATCTGTAGCCTCTTAATCCTAAGAAGGGTCATAGTGAGCAGAAGTCTCACCTTGGAGACAAAAAGGGTACAGGCAAGACTACACCCTGGACATGATGTCTGACCAGAAACGTGCTTACAGGAACAATTTAGAGACACCAATTACCCTGGCCAGCATGTCTTTTGAAAGTAAGAGGAAACCAAACCACCCACAGAATACCCAAGCAAACATGGGGAGGACATGAAAATTCCACATAGAAGGCGCCCTGCTCAGGACCCTAGATTTGCAAGGCAGTAGTGGTAACCACCATTACAACTTTTTTTAGATGTATGTGACGATCTCTTTGCAGTTTTAAATTAAATATGCATGCCCCTTCATGCAAGAGAAAAGCTGATCTGATGAGCACATTTCTTTTTTGGGTTACAGTTTCTAAGGATAAAGTGCAAATCTAAATCAGACAATTCTGACTCTGTGCACTGACGTTATGCCCTGAAGTGTTGCTAAGAGGAAGGCTAAAGGTGCTTTCACATGCGAGACTGGAGACTAGGCTTCATGGGGTTGGTTGACATTAAATTCCAATTCAATTCAATTTATTTTATATAGTGCTTTTCACAACAAGGTTGCCCCAAGGCACATCAGTTTCTGTGAAAATTGATTTCCCTTGTAGTTGCAATATAAATAATTTTATTTGACTTAATGTAACCTTCTGGATAAACTAATCAATTTAATAGATTTAAACTAATAGGTAACATAATTTGTCTACAGTATTCCTTACATACAATTGAGTGTTTGTGCAGCTGAACTCAGAGACTAGTCTAAGAGCAAGTACAGACCCAAAAATCAGCCTTTTATATATTGCACAGGCAGTGGCTAATCAACCTTTGCATTTTAAAGTACAGTATCTTACTGTTTATGAACAAAAAAACACTGAATGAAGAGGTCTGTTAGGGAATAAAACTTACAATGTATTAAAATAAGATCACTTTATAAACCATTTACAATTTCTTGCATTAGGAATTTATCTTTTTGCATACCTCAGCTTGCTCTCCATGAGAAGCTTGGGGTCAGAGCACAGGGTCAGCCATTTATGCAGCACCCCTGGAGCAGCTGGGGTTAAGGGGCCTTTCTCAGGGGCCTAACGGAGTAGGATTCTTCTGCCAACAGCAGGATTTGAACAAGCAACCTTCCAGCCAGAGGTGCAGATCCTTAGCCACAGTGCCACTGCTCTGACCTATGTTATTATCTTTGTCAAGAATAACAATTTAAGACCTCTAATGCAAGGATCTTGTAGATTATACTTTGAGTTCTTGTTGGAACAAAGTAAAGGACTCAGGTAGTCAGGTACTGTATATCTTAAAATAGCAAAAGTTAAAGTTCTTTCATGGAAAAAATGAAAGGATTGTGCTTCTGGACTTTTTACATCTATTTTATCTTCATTAGACTCTAGTTCATTCTTGTGTAATTAGTAAATTACAGTGTTTTGCAGTGAAAACATTGTTTTAAAAGTAAGCTGAAAGTTTCTTTATTCATCTACAAGGGCGGGATAGTTAGATACGTTATTACATTAAGATAACTCACATGCTTATTTTATGCTGTTATATTTTTAATTTTGACTATAGCACCATCATTTAGTTTTAATGTTAGTGCTCAGACAGAAGGACTTGAAAAGACATCTGTGCTGTCCTCCAGATGCTAAACGTGCATGGCAGTTGTTAAAAACAGAATCTGAAACAAATCAAAAAGTTTATGCCCCAGAATGGATTTCAGTTATCTGCATATTTAGGAAACTAAATGCTTGTCTTTGCTTTCCTATGTAGTAGGCAGGTCTGAAATATTTGACTATAAAATGGCAAAGAACAAAGGAAAGCAAAAGAAACAAACACTGAATAACTTAATAAGATCTGTATTCTTGGCTTGACTGGAATTTCTCTTGAATTCCTTTTAAAATGATTTCTATATTTTTGTCTCGAAATCAAAACCTTTTTTTACATTAAAATGGGCTTAGAGGGCATGAAATTATAAGAAGCAAAATCCATTAATTCTGCTCATTTACCCCGAGTTCATCCATTAAAGTTAAACCTGCCCCTAAAGCACAAATTAGGCACTTCATCTCAACCCTATGATAATGCTCCCAATTATTCCAGCTCCTTCCTTTATGGAAACTGAAGGTCACAAATATTGGAAAATGGTGAAAAACACGTAATCCTGATCTTCAAGACACAGCAAATTTCATGGGTACTGGATTGGATCATTAAAATCTAATCCTGAATTAGCCCCGTTAACGTCTGTGTTAATCATGAAATTCTGTTGACATTTGACCAGTTTTAAATAGATATGCCTGCAGGAAAATCCAGCAGTGGCCAAACTGCCCTAATTCTGCCTGCTTACAAAATTTGGCCTGGACTTTGTGCACATTCTGCATCTTATTGGTGATGAAAGAATGTTTGAAAGATTAAGAAAAACAAAAATGAAATACCATTTACAAAGATTAATTAAAAAAAAATTAGATGTGAACATTCTAAACTCAAGCTGGCATCCAAACACGTTCCAGCAAAAAGAAGCATACTCTTTCATTCCATTGTGTGCTGTTTTATCAAGATTATCTGATTTTTAATACAATTTAAGAAAATATCGCTCACTGGTTCAATCTCATTCTCTGCAATTTCAATTGATTTTACAAGCTGTTAAAATTCAGAAAACTGAGAACTGAATCAGGTTTCATAACATAAGAAGAAATCTGGTTTATTACTCATTTTTCCAAGACTTGTTTTGCATTAGGCTTGTGCATACGGTTTGTGAACTTCAGAGGTTTTTTTATTTTATCTACCTTGTGTGGACAGCTTACTGTCAATGGTTTGGAATATTAAATCCAGAAAAAAGGTAAGGTGTTTGGCACTTTAATTACTTTAAAGCAAGACACAGAGTATGCATTAAATATTGCAGTTACAGAGGAACAAAATAAATAATTTTCCTATGAGCAAGCCACCAGCAATAGGGTGTTCAGGTTTCACATCATGAGAACAAAAAAGTTAACAAACAAAAGGAAACCATTCATCCCATCTTGTCTATTTGGATACATGAATATTATTCATCATTAGTGATCAATAATCAACATTACTTAAATAACCCTCAACCTTTTAATTGAACTGATATAACTAAAATGTATCACACTCAAGCTAATATTTTTTAACATTATGCTAATTCCTCAGAGCTTATCTAAAAGAAACTTATTGGACTTTTTATTGTGTTAATTCTTCTAATTATAAACATGTAAATATTTTAAATGTCAAGACTTCAAAGAACTATCATCCTTATTAATTTCAAAATCAATGTTGACAATAAAAATATAATTCCATTCCTCCAAAGACCAATGAAGACAAAACAATCTAAAGTGGAATATAACAATATTAATTTAATCAAAAATGTATTAAATACCTCACTGGTTCAAGTCCAACTGGTTCCAACGTTGTAAAGTGTGGATCCAATAAGGTTCTCAATAAGAAATCAATCAGACTCCCTTCTCTAGTTGGTGTACACTGATTCTCTCCAATACTAAAGATGCAATAAATGAGACAGGTTTTGCTTCAAATCATACTCCCCCCTTAATTCGATCAATGGATTCTTTTCTCACTTTTTCACCTGACCTGTTGCATAGTTGGGCTGCTGAACATAATTGCTGCCATGTGTCACACAGGTGGGTGCTGCACTTCAGTGGTGGATAATACATACTGTAGGATGTCCCTTCCTATGTATGAAGCACTTCAGGACTGTTTAAGATGAAAATTGTTATGTACATGCAAGGTATTATACTTTGTGTATTGAAGATGTTCCATCAATTCTTGTTCCTGGTGAACACTAAAATAAATAGACTATAAATAAATGAATATAGAGATTGATTAAAACCAACCCATTCTATACATCCCAGAATAGGCAAGAACTATACACCATAATAAACAAGTCAAGAGTATGTTTTCTATACCAGGTTATTACAACACCAGATTATTACAAAGTCCAGCATTCATTGTTGTAAACATAAAAAGCAGTTTATTAAAGATACTTCTCTTCCTTGCAGTCATAATCATGACTGTTTGAACCTCATGTCAAAGCATTAATCCAGACATAATAGGAAAGCACTTAAGTAGGCTGAAAACACGCTCCATAACATGTCATGAATATAAAACATAACTCCTTAAGGATTATCATGGGGACAGTGAATGCATTTAAATATTAGATGAGATCCATAAATAATGGACAATAAAAATAAAAAAAAATCTTTGCCTTCATTACCATTTATACATTTAAGAGCTTGTGCTGAATGCATTGTAAGCCAATGTGTGCTTTTAACACTTTCATTACCTTTTCCAGAACAGCTATCCCACAGTATTTGCATATTTTGGTTGAAACTTTGTCATTCTGATCTGTAATTGCACAAAAAAGAAGATGCAAAAAGAATACAGTTTAAACAATAAGGCACTCGAGGCCGTGCTATATTGTGAATATAGTCACAGTTAAAAGGCGTTGTTAGGCGAAGCGTAGGGCCGGCATATTCACGATATAGCACAGGCCTCGAGTGCCTTATTGCTTTTATAAAATGGTCCCCAAATATGCGATTGCTTTATAGAATGAATTTTAATTTAAAAATGTATTTAACACAAAAACTAAGCTGTTTACGTACCTCAATCTGAGAATATAGTCCCTCGTTGCTACACAATCCAGAAACACAGCCATAAGTAACATTATCTAGCCAATATGATAAAAGAATAAATTACTTGTTTTTTGTTTATTTCTTTAGTACATTTATTTGAACGTTTCCATTGATCGTACAAGCATTGAAAAAGTTGTCAAGTCCCTAGTTTGTCAGGCATTTTCTTTTTCGTTTTGGGAGCATCCACTGGTGCTGGTCTCGGTGCCTGTCAGGATATCACTCCAGCACTTTGTCATTAAAATTGGGTTTCCAATAACGCCGTAGCGAACTCTCGCTATAACTATAACAGACATAATCTCCCTTTCTTTTAACTGAGTGTTTGATTATTTTCAAGAATGAAAATGATTTAAACTATGAGACACTATCATTCAACGAGAGCACAAAAAATCACAAGGACCCTCTAAAGTGGAAAAAAGACAGCAGAAGAAGATACATGTATCAAATACCTGAAAATCCAAGCTTTCTTATCTACGCTAAGAAGTAATCTTTAAAAGTTTATGCGATTGATTTGATTGACCGTTATTTATCAGTCAGCGCATTGATATTTCTTTATCACACAGTAAAAAGTCAAAATTCCTTCCGGAGTGTGCATATATCAGAGAAAATAGCAAGGCTTCGAAAGCTTGTTAGCCAATCAGATTCCAGGACCAGAACTATCCTTTTTATAATCGGACATAATTTCCAGTAAAAATGTCTTCTCTATGCACAAAACTTTTTGTGTGGATATAAATATTGTAAGGTGGTAATGGAGGCAGTTACATGGATCCTAGAATAGGTTTGGCACTACTAACTAAACTTACACTTCTGACTTTATTACGGCATACATCCAACAAAGACTTGAAATGTTGTTCTTCCCTCTTGTCCAGAAAGAAACAACAATTTCTCTGTCAAAAGCAATGTAGTAGCTGCTCTATTCTGGTAAATTTCGTAATGATGTTCTTGATGTTTAATTCTAAATTGGCCTCTAAGATGCCTTGTTTTAAATAAATTAACTGGTATGCTATATATTGAGTCGTGTGTTTAGTATGTGTCATTGTCATTATTAATAAATATTTGTTTAACGCAGAGTGGCTGATTTATACTTCTTTTTACCACAAATGTGCCAGAGAGAAAAGAACCAAGGAGCCTCTAATTCTACCAAAAGATCAGGTATATTTTTGGCAAAATCTTTACAATTTGAGGGTTATCATTATTTATTTAACTTATTGAGTATTCCATTCAGTATCTTCAGCAATCTCTATTTTCATTACCCCCTATTTGTACAGCCACAGCGGGAAAGGGTTTTGTTCTTTGAAGAAATGTTAAATATACCAGCATTTGTTGAAACTACAGTACCTTACTTCATATGTAGACCCAAAACAATAACTAAACTCCATTTATTACAGGAGGTCAAAGACTAAAAAGAAAATGTCATTAATTCTAGGTCTCAGCTTTTATTTCTTTCAGCAAAAACTCCGAATTCAGGGAGAATCTACAAAAGCAAATATGGAAGAGAACATTCGTAGAATTTTTTTCTGTATATAAACAAAAACCATGAGGAATGTGGTTGTTCAGCAACTAATGAGGTGAAAGAATATTTTTAAATTAATCTCAGTTAATTGATTATGTAGAAGATATTGTACTTACAGCAATCATTGCCAGTCCACAATAGTAGTATTTATAGCAGTGCAGGTTAGTATCTATGTGAGAAATCTATGTCTTTCTATCGTAGCTAGGCTTCCAGGATTTTGTTTTAGACTTGGAAATAATCAAACATCTCATCTAAGATTGATAGACCAATGTCTTTCAGTAAATATTCCCTGCAGTTAATGTAGGTTTATTCCATGCTGGAAAAAAAGAAGAAAAAGAAGGCTCCACGGCCAAAACATTGTGTTTTCTTTCTTCTTTTTTTCAGCATGGGAATAAACCTATTACTTGTTCCTTTGCAGTAATGCATGCTGACGCAGCTGCCCACCTGATCTAAGTAATGTAATTCATTGCACAAATACAAAACTGGCTGAAATTTGTTAGATGAAAAAATGTTCTTGGTCCTACAGCAGTCCAATTAAGAACACAATCAGATTTCTAAAAATCTATTTGTACATGCCGCTCTCTGAATACGTGATCTGATTGCATACAGTAGATCCAGATTATGGAAAATGTTATTTCTTTAAGTCACAGAAAAGAGGCTTCTAATTAACTGTGAATTTTAGTAATGTTAACAAACCTACAAATATGTGCCTGGGTTTCGTGTGAGGAATTACATTTGTCTCTGATTATTTTATCTTCACACATAGAAGGAAAACATATCAGTGCCATATTTTCACCTCTTTCAATTGCATTAATAAAACAGAATTCTGGGTTAAGAAAGAGGAAATCGCATAAAAGGCAGAGCTTCTAATCACCATGTCTTCATTGATCTTTCAGTTTACTTTTCCAATTATTTTCTCCTTTCTCTTCCAGTTTTATGTGTTCAAAGCCAGCCCTAACAGCACCCTTGGGATTGTGTCCATTGTCATCTCTTGTTTGTTTTTGTAATAATCTGGGCTCAAAATAAAGACCAGTGCAGGGATCCTTATTCACCTTTGACTCAGTAATTCTAATTGACACATTCTGTCTGCAAAGCATACACCCACCCCCAAACCTCTCCGTAATTCTTAGTTTGCCCCATTATCATCAATGGCAAATAAGTTTTGACAAAAGGATGAATTACATACTGTATTCAGAAATTTGAGGACTGGGGCAAGACCTACACTTGGCCAATCAGAACAGCAAAAAAGGTTGCAATTAAATGTAAAAATGTTAATTATTGTTCTTCTGAAAGCCATTTCCTAATATAGAACCCCACACATTCCTCTCAGAAAGCAAGCATTTATGTTTTCAGCTTTGCAGCACAAAAATAACATTCGGCCACATGTAAGCTGTAAAGTTGATCCTCTTAAAAGCTCAAAATTCTCAGCTAATCTCCAAACTATTTTCAACCCATCAACATGATAGCCGAAACAGAGAAAGGGCTCCCTGTATCAAAGCCCGAGTTTCATCAAGATAGAGACTGCTCTTTTGTGACCTGTTGACAGGAACCCTGTTTCCCAGTACATATATCATTGGTTGAAGATGCGCTCGTTTCCAATTTTCCACACTGCAAGCCTGTTAACTGAATAATATCAGAAAATATCAATTTCTAAGGAACTTAAGGCCTGAACTTTAACATAATATCACAGATGTGTAACCCTTAAAAACAAGACTTATTCTTGTTTTGTGTATAATTACGCCACCTAGCTATTGTAAAGGATGCCAGGACCTCTTTTACTTCCTACAGATTCTGTTTATCTCCCAGAATTACCAGTGCATGCACAGACCAGAAAAAGACACTAGTATCATTTAAGTAGCCCTTTTTATTTTATTTGACACAACACTTAACACTGTCAACCCAACACCCAGGGAACATTATACAAAACCAACTCCAAAAGACACACATTCCAAAGCAGCACAGGTATCCAATTGGACCAGTTAAGCAAATGTCCCAGAATACTGCAGTCCAGGAGTTCTGCTCACAGTGTAGTTCCTTTCATGGTTCTAAGGCATCTTTTCTCATCCTGGCTGTCCAGGACAATGTGGTCCCCTCATGATCCCCCCACCTTTATTTTTCCAAGTCCATTGTCAGGTGGGGTAAGAGATGATGCCAGAGCCTTCCTATAGAGTCCCTGGTGTCAGAGTCCTCTCCTGGGTCCAGTGCTGTGATCTGTCCAACAAACCTTCCTGCCTCCAAAACACTTCTGTTCTCCCTTCATTGGGGCCTTTGATTTTGTGGTGCAGAGTCCACCTGGCATCTCCATGACTAACATGTCATGATCATATTTTAAGATTTGAATAATCGATGACTGCAATGGTATAGTTTTTTTCAGGAGAACTGAGTTTGCTTCTGATACCATTCCAAACAGGAACAACACTAGGAACTATGCAAAAGAGATCGGTCCATTAAGATGATTTCCTCATGGGCTGCTGTCCAGTAGGTCTGTAGTAAAACTCGCTGAGCAATGCAGATCACGTCTGTGGTTTGGAAGCACATGCATACAAACACCTACAGACACTTGTATAGAGCAATTCAGAGAGAGATGGACTGTGACCACATTATCCTTTAAAGCAGAGAAGTTCTCTCACACAAAAATAGGTCTTCAAACTTTTGCACAGCTCTTTAGTAAACATCATATTATAGCCCAAAAATCCTTATAGTAAACTCCTTAAATTTAAGACATTAGTCAGATATTAGGTACAACACCCTATGATACAAATATAAAACACAATCCACACTTAAAAAAAAAAATAGAATACTGCATTAAAATGTTATGTGTCAGAGCCTAGCAACCTCCAGGGAGAATTTTCTGATCAAACACAAATTTATCTTCCCTGTCACTGTTATCACAAATACCATTTTTATTTCTACTCTCATATTTCACTGTTGATTATATTACTTAAAAATCGCATTGATTTCTCTTCCTTTATTAAATGGTACCAAGAGATAGCTGTGACTGAAGGAGCACATTAGTTGGTAAACGCTTTTCATTCCACTCTTCTGACAGTAATGACATCTCACGTTCAAAGATGCCTCCTGTTTTCACATAACTGCTGAGGTAGTGCTTCCAGAACTGCTGTTTTGTTCATCATTTTCATTTCTTAATTTATATATTCTCACAGTAACCTTTATGGCTCACCCTGTTCTACATTCAACTGTGTAACAGGCCTGTATATTCCCCTACAGAAAAAAAATGTTAATTTGTTATGAAAATAATTTTATTTGCATTCTACTGTGGAGTAGCATGCTGAGCACAGACTGTGGAAAATGGCCTTTGCCAGCATGAAGTGTAGGTCTGAACTCCAGTTTTTAATGAGAAATCCTTTTCATCTCTTCTTTGACTGTGCTTTATTTCTTCTTGATAGTAACTGGAGGGTATCAGACAGAAAAGCTTAATTATCAGGGTCTTTAGAAACAAAACTGCAACTTGCTCACTTTGTTTTGCTATTAGCAAAATGC